CAGGGGCCACCGCCTCAGTTCGGGCTCTTGTTAAAACCCCTCACTGCTCTCCACAGACTCCTGCCTCAGATCCGTCGCTCATTCTCCCCAGAGTTCTGTTCTATCACCATCCTTCCTGAAGAACTTCACTGGCCCAATCAGGCAAAACCCTCCGCCTTGGCATTGAAGAATCAGACCTGGTTGCAGTCACCCCTGCACACTGAGGCTCTGACCAGTCAGACTGTTGGCTCTCCACCTCGACTGTACACTTCCCTGCCCGCCCGTGCGCGTGAGCTTGCCCTTCTGTCTCGCGGGCGAAGATGCTCGAAAGAGCACACAGGTGGAGTCCTTGTAGGACTCGGGGGCCAGAGAAAGCATGTCTAGCTACAGGGGTGCAGGGAAAGACTCGCCACATAGACTGGGCCTTCAAGGATGTTACTGGGTAAACTGAAGAAACTGTATATAAATGAAGAAGCAAAAACTTAAAATGTATTTCCTGGGGGATTATTTTCTCCCCTCTTGAAACGGATGCACTTTTGAAATAAAAAATAATAAAGCAATGACCGGACACACTAGTATAATAATTCAAGTTACAGGAATTTCAACCTGTACGCTTGTTAAATAAAGTGTCTTACAATATGAAGAAACTAGGTAATCCAGTATACTGAGCTGGGTACCTGCACGTTTTTTAATGTATCCTCTGAGATGAAATGGGTCCCACTGTAGGCGTCTATAGACTTACACATTCTGACTCTCTGTGAGGCTGAAACTGACTGATTTATATGGTATTCTCATTTTCATTTCCGATTTTCCTTGTGACCAAGCCATTTGTTGGCTGGTGGACAGAACTAAGACAGTGAGTCACACAGAACAAGCCCATGAGCCTGCTTCACTAGGACCAACGACGAATTCTTTTTTTACTTCTCTACTTCTTCCTTCTCATCTGACTTGTATAGATACTGCTCATAATTTTCAGCCTCCTCACCGGTTATGATATTACACAGACTATTCACATAGGGTTATATTTTATAATTAATATATATCTGCTAGATGGTTCTAGATGTGAGCCGGTTATTACATCTCCGGCTTGAAGCCAGGCTCCAATTCAGTTCATCTCCCCGGCTTAGGAGTGACCTTGGTTTCAGCTGAGACTCCTTCACAGTGTGTTGCTATTGGGTCTCACGTGCAAGATAGTTGCAACTGGGGAAAGAAGAGACTTTCCTGTATTTATAGTAATGAGAAAGGTGGTATAGCATGGTGGTTAAGAATAAGGCTCCTGGAACCAAACTGCCTGGGATTCAGTTCCAGCAAAACCACTTATTGGCTGTTTAACTTTGGCCAAGGTAGTTAACCTCTGTTTCGGTTTTACCACCTGTAAGATAGAGATGACCAAAATTGTCCTCATAAGACTGTGGTAAGGATTAAGTGAGTCTATCTATACATAAGTACCCTCTCTCATATAATATAAAACGTATGGTATGATATATAATGTAATATGTAGTACATTACATGAGAGAGAAACCACTTAGAATAGTATCTTTTACATAACAAGTCGTTTGTAAATAATATTAGGTAATAGTAAAATTATTAAATATAATTGTATATTAAGGTCTAAAGGCCTTAGTTCAAACAGGAAGTCACTGCGAGTAATACTAGTGTGTTTATTTATTGTATTTTTCTTTCTGTATCTATGCCCAGAGCCGAGCAACTAGAAAAAGTTGTTTTATATTTCCCCAAAGTATTTGCATTTTGTCTTCACTGAATTTCAAGCTACAAGTCTAAGTTCACTTGAGACTTTCATTGCCGGCACCTCGATGAAGCCCTGAGGATAGAATTTACAGATTTGTGGCTTGTTCATCTTGGCTCACCATGGACCAACATGTAAAGGAAACTGGACCAGAGGATCTGTCATGGGATGTTCTGGTCTATCTTCTGTCTTCTATGAATGACTTGGATCTAATTACAAATACCTATGAGGTTTGAACTATTTGAACTGACCGTCTAAATTGATCCAGTGAACTGAAAGACTGTCAAAACTCCAGCATGTTTTGTGTTAAAGACAGATCACTCCACGAAGGAAAAAGGAGGCAGGATGCTTAGCACGCTCTGAGCTCTGAAATCCCTAGCTCTACTTGCCAAGTCTGCCGGTGTCTAGCTTTCTCTCATCCCAGATTCTGGGTCCAGCAGAGCAGCTGAGGGACCATAGGTCTGCCGGATCTTGGGGCTGGAAGGGACTTTGGAGGTGATCTAATGCTAGGCTTCCTTTCACAGAGAAGGAAACTGAGACCTACTACGTTTAAATGACACCTCGTTCACGTGGATATGATTCCACCTGAGTTTAAAGGGTGAAATTAATAACAGGATAATTTGTCATGCCACAGCCATCAGCAATCTCTGACTTCGGGGGCACTGGAAAGATTTCTAAGTTCTTTTGTAGCTGCTTCGCTCTTTGAAACTTGTTGAAAATACGTAAAAAATATCATGCCTGAATAATTTATATTTATGATTATTTCTTTTTCTGTGGTTTCCATCAAGAGCTGCTAAAGGATTTCTCCTCTTCATCGCTGAAGTGCAATCCAGCAACTGTTACATCCGATAAACTGTACAACGCAGGGTCTAGGATTCTCAAAGCTACTGTCAGATAGTTCTTTAATAATATTTCTTTAAATGTAATTGAAGTTAAACCTCTTGGTTCCTTTACCAATTGCAGTCTGCTGTAAAATGATATATTTTAGCCTCTGCATATCTCATGTTTTCTACCCCTGCCTCCCTACACACAAACCTGCGCATATATATGCATGCAATCTCTCAAAGTTTTTGGGAGCCCAAGGGGAGCCCAAAAAATCACTAGGCTGGAAAACATATTTATGATACGTGATTAAGTATTTATTATAATAATGGAATTTATCCTCAAACTCCAAAGTATTTCTTTATCTTGACTTCCTTTCCATTCTTAGGAAAGATCTCTCAGTATGAGAAGTGCTTAACTTGCTGGGCGGCTGGGTGGCGAAGTCGGTCGAGCGTCTGACTCTTGGTTTCAGCTCAGGTCCTGATCTCAGAATCCTGAGATCGAGCCCCATGCCGGGCTCCGCGCTCAGCATGGAGTCTGCTAAAGTTTCTCTCTCCCTCTCCCTCTGCCCCTCCCTGCTTTGCGCTTGCTCCTGCATGCGATAGCTCTCTCTCTTCCTCTCTAAAATAAATAAATAAAAAAAGAAGTGCTTAACTTGCCATAATGAATACTACTATACTATACTTGTCTTCTTACGAAAGGACTTTGTCACAAAAATTCTGTCAAAAATCACAAAAACGTGGTTCAAGAAGGCAGGACTTAGACATACATATCCAGGTATCTAGCTTCCTCATAACGAAATGAGCAAAAGAGGTGCTTTGAACCTAGTAATGGAAGGATGCAAACTTTCTCTCCCTCTTTCATCCCATCATTTCTTTTTCTTTTTTTTTTTTAAAGATTTTATTTATTTATTTGACAGAGAGAGACACAGCGAGAGAGGGAACACAAGCAGGGGGAGTGGGAGAGGAAGAAGCAGGCTTCCCGCGGAGCAGGGAGCCCGAAGCGGGGCTCGATCCCAGGATCCCGGGATCACGACCTGAGCCGAAGGCAGATGCTTAACGACAGCCACCCAGGCGCCCCCCATCATTTCTTTTGAGTCTTCGCAGCTAAGAAACTTATTTGCTATTCTTTGTTATATCTGTTTGGAGGCTGAGTTGGCTTTCCTTAGAGGTAAGCTGGCTTCTTTGAGGTGGTAAATGAAGAGCTAAAGAATTAGCAACAGTTTATATCTGCCTCTGAGAGCACATGTGGGCTCGCCTTCCCGCCTCTGCCTTCTTTCCTCCTTCGTCACAATTCAGAGGATGCAGCCAGAACTATCAGGGGACTTCACTTGTATTCCTTCATTCAAGTGCACTCACACTTGTCTTTTCAGTGATGAAACCTATGGCCCTGGAATCACTTATTCACTTGGATGTAGAAAGTGTGAATCAGCCCTTCCCACCTGCAGAATGCAGTCTGGAATCCGCCATTGACGCCCTGACATGATTTCTTCCAATTTCTCCCATTAGCTCCAACCTTCCCTCCAGCTCACTCCTATGTCTCTTTTTATCTTTTATCAGTAAAGCTGATTAAAAAAATTAAGCTAAAAACAAAGCCCAAACCACTGCTCTTGTATGAAGGGAGGGCGTGCACAGTAACGTGTTTCTCTAGGCGAGGTTGAGGGCTGATGCTCACCCATCCTCATGCGCATCTCCTGTGCCAGGAGCACAAGTCTGCAAGCTGGCTGGCTGGGGTTAGGGGTACAGTCAGCCCGTGATTAACTGGTTCTCACTGAGAATAGAACATCCATGGTCTTACTGGCACATGCATTAAACCAACAGAGTTAAACATCCCTACTTGGTTATATCCAGCCTTTGTGAACTCAGTGCCCAGCATTCTTCTTCCAGTACACCCTGGCTCTTAGGCCAGTATCTAGACAAACTGTGAAGTGGGGACCAGTGACTTTGGGAGCACAGGCGACCAAGGCGAGATGTTGACAAGCATCATTCAGACCTCAAATTTGACACGAAGGCAAAAGGGGGAGACTTTTCTAAGAGGAGAATTTTTTTTTTCCCTCCCCAACAGAGGTGATAGGGTCTGAATGAACTGAATCGAAATAGAGCCAGTTTTCAAGCACCCACGGGCGAGCTTTTACGATTTTTCTGCGGCAATTCACAAACCACTGGATACATAACGCTGTACTAAAAGGAATTGAAGCCTGTCAGGTTAATTACACAATATTAGGTACGAAAACAAACAGTGCAACACAAAACATAGCTACATCATTATTTGCAGTAAATGTTAACTCTAAATAAGTGCAACCTGTCCATAAGTGCTTGCTATAAACTAATTAAAAAAATAAAATTTGATGGATAAACATGAAAAAAAAATTCTCACCGAGAATTTTTTTTTTAAATATCAGCACTCATTTAGAGTTTGGGATTTGTGAAAGAAAGCTTTAAAAGGAGCAAACCTGATTGGCTGCGGCTGTTGCTGCGAAGGGGACACTTGTTGCAGGAGTTGTTGCTGCAGAGACAGTGGCTGACGTAGCGCTGTGCATCATGGGTACTTTCAGGAGGGGAACCATGGGAGCAATGAACAGGAGGGTGTAGCATTATGGTAATAGAAGTGGTATTTTGGCATGGTGAATATCAGAGCAGCAAGCCATCATGGGTTAAACCAGCAGATGGCATGCAATCACAATGCAAAGCAAGGAAGCATGGGAGAGAAATAAAAAAGGGAAAATAGCTTATTACAAGTACAATTAAAGGAAGTTTTAAAACATAATCAGTGATTCCCAGAAAGGCCAAAGCAGATTACTTTGGTTGATGTATTTATCAACATTTTTACTTCTGGCAATTTATCATTCCCAATGGGGAGCCTATGGTTGTAGGTACGGTTAGGTTTCCTCCAAAAACGCGAAATGGAACGTCCAATGAAGTAAGAAGATATGATACTCGTTTTTGTCATTCTAGAACATCCAAGGCTCGACATGTCGGCCTAATTTGGGGTAGGATATTCTTTGGTTGGAATTAATTATGGTTAAATTGAACACTTCTGTCAATCTGGAGCTGCTTTTTTGGGGCAGAAATTGTTGGAGGTTGGGGTTTATTCTGGGTTCATAAATGGCAGAGCAAAAATCATGGCCTTGATGTAAATTCCAACGTAGTTACTGCGAAGTAGCAGGCAAATTTGGCCAATGTTTACTTCTCTTTATTCTAAATGGAACTCCTCCATACGTCCTAAAGACAGACTTTGTACCAAGGCACTCGATGTGTAGAGATAACGATAGAGTATTAAAATTTAACATCTAAGGGAGTGCTAAGGTCCAAATAATCACCCCAAAGAAATTGACACTTAAAATTAAAAAGGATACTAAAGCAAGGCAGTTCAGACATTTGTTTTCAAAATACATCCATTTACGGTTTTTAAAAATAAATACTTCTGGGAAACTCTGATAACTCTAACACACAGCAAAAAGGAGATAAAGGCACACCACTATGAAACTTTAAAACATTGATGAAATTAGCCTGCCTTTCTGATAAAGTCAGCTTTTTTTTTTCTCTTACGCTAAACCATATAAACTATAAAGAGAAACAAAATACAGATCATTAAAAAGCAGTACTTGTGGTTTTATGTCTTGCAGTGGTTGTTCTAGCACAGTGGGTATTCTGGTCACATTAAAACGATCATTTTCTTAAATAATACAAGTACATCTTAAAAAACCTATCCATTAACTCTAAAGCCAAATAAAGCCTTCAGATCTACCATTTCCTAAAGCATTTCTACCATCTCTGAAATAAATTTCAAGCAAGTGAAGGTACTGTACATAATAGAAAAAGACAAATAAAAAAAGGTTGAAACCTACCAATACTGGTAGCGGGAGTCATGCACAAAACTGACCCTGCATGTCATGCAATGGCAGGTGGAAAAAGTGAATAAAGGGAAAGAAACAGGTTAGCGGTTTAGAGTTAACATTCAAAGTGAGATTGAAGCACAACCAGAAATCAGTAGGGTTAGTTAACACAGTCTTTTAGAGTTATTTACGTTTTTAGGACTGACACAAATATCTCTGACTTGTTGGAAGCCAATATTACTCAAAGCTCACTCCTTCAATGCTTTTCACACTTTTTACTCGGCTCCATCGACATGATTCTTCTAAAGAATGACATGTGACAATGTCGAGAGTGTCCTTCCTCTAAGACCTTTACAGACATCATCGAGGTTAATCCTCGAAGGTAGGAAGTGGGTATTTTACAGATGAAAAATCTGAGGCATAGTAACTACTCCAAGGTCATGCGTAGTGGGGATCGAGGGTAAGGCTAGAAATAGCATCTACTCCTAAATCCAGGTCAGGGCTTGTATTCGCTGGATTACACTGACCTTATTGCATTAAACGTCTGTTTGCTTGTTTGCTTGTTTCGTGTCAAAAACAATGTGAAAATCAAAACAGTAACTAAGATTCCATATCCTCCAAATCAAAGGCTCGCAGGTCAGGTGAATTTTAGATGATTGCCTAGAAGCCCTACAGCATAGGAAGACTGAAGTTCTTGTGACAGAATGACCTGGATGTGTACGTGACCTGTTTTCTGCTATGAGATTCATCATGATAAAGGAGCGGTGCCTAGCAATAAAGCCTAAAGAGCGAAGAGGCGAAACAGTGCCAAACTGGGGCTGACTTAGGACCAGGCCTAGCGACTGTGTCATGGCTGCTATTAGGTGATCCCTGAGGGAGATCTTTGGCAAAACTCCTAGGATATCTCAGGTTGGTGTCCAAGTTGAAGGATGGGGGAGAGGGAGGAAAGGGAGGGAAGATTTCAATCCCTCCAAGGGAATAGCTACCTTCCCTGCGGGGGGCTGTATTAATATGCTTGAATCCGAAAACTCTGACCCTGAAGAGAAATGTATGTGGTAGAGTACTGAAAAAATGAATTATCTATTTCTGGTTCAGTTCCTTAGACTAAAAATCAAGGTAATATAAGGATTATATACCTGAAGATGGTGTGTCATGGAGGTGACAGAGCATGCATTTTTAATGAATGAATGAAACATCTCTTTAACAAATGGGTGTACCTGCTTAGGGTTTTAGAACTGTGTTCTGAGATACCAGGTGAAGAACCTGAGATGCGTAGACCTTTGTTCTCTCTCTGCTGAACTGTCCACACCTGAGGGATACTTTCTGCCTGATCTACATTTTGGTCAGGCTAACGTTAACCAGTCAGGAACAGAGGTTATTTAAACTGGATTATTACTGGATTCTTCAGCAAACGCATGTTAATGAATCTGACTTCACACACATACACACACACACACACACACACACACACACACACCCCCCTCAAAACCCTTCTCTTTCTCTGGCCCTATCTTTCTAATCTTCATAAACAAACTTCTGGACAGTTGCCTGCTCATAAATTTTCACTTCCTTTACCCCACTTGCTCTTCGATCCTCTCCAAGTTGCCTTCCATATTCAGGTCTCTACTCCAACTGCTAATGTCTTCAAGAACTTCCTATTTCTGCAGTCATTAGGAACTCTTCCATCTTCATCTAATGTGAGTCTTGGTAACATTTAACACTTGGCCACTCCCTCCATAATAAACCATTCTTTTCCCTTGGATTTTCTAATACCCCCTGTCCCTCCCCTCCCTACACGCACAGACACACACATACTTTACAGCTTATATGCTGGAGTTTTTCAGGACTCAGTTCTGGTTCCTTTTCATCTACTCTGTACTTTTTCTGGGCATATCATTCAATCCAGGATTTAAATACTATCTATAAGCTCAAGGCTTCCAAATTTATGCCTCTACCTTCCCTCTTGGAATGCCCTGCTCCAACTCACCAATAAGCCAAAGCAATCCTGTTTCTAAAATGCATCTTATATTGGTCTGTCTGTACATCTCTACTGCCACTCCTCCAGTCCTGATGGCCATTATCTCTAGGCTGGGCCATGTCATGACGTCCTATCTTGTCATCCTGTTTGCCTTCCTGTCCCCTGCCTAATCCGCTCCACTCTTCACCTTTCTAAATACAGGTCTGTTCGCTTCTCTGCTGGAATGATTCACTGCCTTTTCATTGCTTTTAGGATAAAGGCCTCCTATGGTCCACTCTCTGACTCTCTTCCCAGCTCCATTCCATACCCTTCTCCGGGGGCGGGCACCGTGACCTAGGCAGATTAGCCTTTCATTTCTTTGAGCTGAACACATCACACTTTTGTCCTACTTTTGGGCTTCCCACAAGCCCTCCCCTCTGCCTGGAATAATCTTCGCCCCACTCTTTTCATCTTCCCGGTCTCTAGGTATGTGTCACTTCTTTAGAAAACTGTTCAATTGTTCTTTGACCTATCTCCATCTGCCATTTAAATCAGTTTATTATTTTTAAGCTTACTGAACTCTACTTTTTCATTCATCGGCCTTATAAAGCATTTAAGTTATATATTTATATGGGCATTTATTGAATATCCATCTCTCCTCCTCTCCTGTCAACTCTGGGAGGATTCATGTCTGTCTAGGTCTCTGGGGCACACAGTAGGTGGTCGATCGGTTGAATGGGGGTTTTCAGTCATTAGTGAGTGTATTGGGAGCAGCTGGTTCCTAAAATTTATTAAAGTACCCATTTTGTCAATGACTTTATTTTAAAGCGAACCGTGGCCGGATTCAAAGTTATCCCTATACAAATTCGGCTATTCTCTTGCATTCCAGTGGGGGGGGGGCGGGGGGGGAGTGTTTCTTTCCTGTGTCGTGGCCGCGGGAATGTCCCGGGGTTGCAAACCACCACCGCCACCTCCTGCAGCCACACTGAGCTGGGACTAAACATGTCACTTTAGCTCAGTTCAGGATGTGGCTGAAATGCTCGACCAAATTCATCTGATGAGCTTCTCTCGCTTTCTTTGTGGTCTAAAAGTGATATGAATATTGGAAACGCATAGCTTTGGCTCTGCGTGGCCGTCTGACTCAGTGCCAGATTCCGCTCCTCGTCTTTTCTGCCTCGGTACCCTCTGCCCACCCCCCTTCAGTATTTGACATTGCAGCTAAAATGAACAACTTGCAATCCCTAACTGTGCTCTCCCCAACCCCTGCTCTCCCTAACTATGCTCTCCCCAACCCCTGCTCTCCCTAACTATGCTCTCCCCAACTACGTCCCCCCCTGCCTGGGATGCTCTTCTGCCACTGGTAAAATCTTCCTTTCAAAGTCCTAAGCAAATTTCTTCTCCTTCGGACAGTCGCTTCTTTCTCAGTTTCCTTTGCCCCCACCCCCCCAGCACATGCTGACAGCCCCAACACACTAGTGCTTTCTGCACTCTCAGAGCTTTGCTCGTGCCCCGACGGGCCCTTAGCGCTCGTCACTGTATTGGCTTTTCCCTCGTTCCGAACTCCTTCGTAGTCTCATTACTGGATCTGGAACCTAGAACTTACTCTGCGTTCAAGAATCGTTTGCCGAATTAAGGGGGGCAAATACATTTGGCTGTGGCTGCCACAGGTCGTTTCAACTAAACGCTGACGAATCTTTCACCAAGGTGTGTGATAGATAACCTTATGTAACCTTATGGTTTGGGATCAATAGGCAATATTTACACTAGTGCTTTTCCTTGTTCTACTTATTCTGTACATCCAATACAATGAGATAAATCAAAGAGGGACTCGGTGGGTCGTTTTGTTCTGACCGGCTGAAGCATTCCACTAAGACACTAATTCTTTCAACAGAGACTTCTCAACTGTTCTCTGCTGCGTTTGCACAAATATTTCAACGCTAGAATCTGTGAGTCAGGATTCTCTGGGTAATTCCACGAATTATATATTCCACTCTGCAGCACAGACACACAGCTTCAGTTTTCCCATCTGCAAAATGCAAATAATCATGCCGGCCACTGGCAGAACTCTCTCGAAGACTAATGAGACAGTGCCTGTAAGAACACTTATAGTAACACAATAAACCTGTCAGAGAAATGCCGAGAATTATGACCCTGCTGTTTTTGAGAGTGTGTGTGGTTTCTGCCACTGGCCTAACATAGCGAAGAACAAGTATGGACTCCTAGATTAAAATAATCCCTATCAAAAGTGGAGAAAAGGAAAAGTCTCACCCACTACAAACGTGCTAGGGCATCAGCCAAGGTGATATTTCTATGAGCATGGTTTGGGAGAAGAATCCCATATTTTGCACAATGTTTTATACTCCTATCTCCACACCCTGGAGGCAGAATTCCTAAAATCCAAATTCACGTGGTGTCAATGGGGGAGTTTTCGTAAGATATCAAAAACTTCACTGTGGAGAACAGATGGCAAGTGGATTGATTGTAATGCTCATGTCACAGTGTCTGCTAATATTGACCCGTTATGTCATACGCCTACAACTAATACAATGTGATATGCCAATTATACCTCAGTGGAAAAACAAGAAAGGAAATTAGGGATCTTAAAAAAAACAACCCCCAGAATTTCACTAGGAATGGCCTTTCAGTAAAGGGTAACCTCCAGGAGCACATGAGATGCTCTGTGTTTCATATATACAATCATTGTTGATAGAAAGTATTTACAGAAAAATCAAAATCTGTCAGTTTAAAAATCAGGGGCCCACCATCTACCAAGTTACAAAAATGATTTTTGAACATCGTCATTTAATTTGCAGAGATTTAAGACAAGGGTGATTGACCATGAATGCCTATCATCATTACTGTTTTAAAATTGAGTTGAAAATGTGGTTTATGAGAAAGAAAGCCTGAAATAAAAACTAGAGCCAAAACAAACACTGAGATTTCTGTTAGGGATTTAAGGGGGGGAACGATTATGCTAACTTGCTTTTGATTAAATTATTTTCTCTTTCATCATTTAAGAAAAACATGTGAAAACTTCCTCGAAGCTGAAATACCATTTCAGAGCATGAGAGCCACATAGCTGTTCACTGTGATATTGGTATCATGTTACAGATGGAAACATTTGTAATTCACAGAATGAAATGGGCTAGGACCCACTTTTGGGCTCCCAAAGTCTCACAACTGCGGGTTGCCAGACACACTGGGACAGTGTTTAAAGAATCCAGCAGGGGGCGGAAGTGCACAACCACGGCAGCCCGTACAGCCTCTCGGTCCTCCATACAGTCATTTCATCAACTGGATCGGGTCATTGCATAAGGGATGTTATCCATTCTTGCTTTGGAAGTCTTTAAATGGCTTCCAGGTGAAATACTTTAAAATAAGGATTCTTGCAGTGATTTAACAGAGCTGTCATGATTGGACTGAAGTGTTAAATACGAGTTAGAGGCCTTCAGACTTGCACACGACTTAGGTCCAAGGTTTCAAAGGCATTGCCAGGAAATGGTAGTGAAATTGTTACCCAGTCTCCAGAAACAGACTTGTCCTTTTATGTTCTACCCCTCGGTACATTCCTCCCTAATTTTTTCTCCTAAGGTATCTTAGTGACGAGGTCTATAAGACGCTTAAGGAAGTCATTTAAGACCTCGAGGTAAGTTTACCTACTAGAAATTGTTTTATAAACATGTTATATCCAGTGGATTACAAGTACAAGTCCTGCTATGCTAGATGCCTGCCCTGAAATGTCACTGGCTGAGGTTGTACTAGAACAGGAGGGAAACCCCCAGTAAGTACTGACGTAGAGACTCACTCTACAGGTCTGTAAGTCTCCTTAAGAGAAGAGCAGAAGTGAAATATGAAAACTAAACACTAAGAACCATTTTGCTGATATAATTTATATGTTTACTATAATAAGTATCATTAACAAGTTGATCATTGTTTTTAAAGTGAAGCTTTTATACAAAGAATACCACAGAAATACTCCTACTCCCTCCCACGTTAATTCCTGATAGGCTACAGGATTTAAAGAGATGGATAACAGACCCGAAAAGTCCAACCACGTGGATTAGGACCAACAAGCTCTTTGTGATAAAACTGTTGTTCACCTGTATTTACCTTCGAGTCACTCTCATGGGATGAAAATTTGGACTTCAAAACTAAGAACTGAATGGACAGTCTCCTCACGGAAGCCTAAGTCACTCTCTGGTTCTTTTTTTTTTTTTTTTTGAATACTAGGAAATTTTATTTATTTTGAGGCTATCATCCCTGCTTCTAATGCAGACCAAGGAAGTCAAAACCATGATCCATTTAAGGTGACTCTGTGTGCGTACATGGTGTACATAGGTCTGTGGTCAGGGAAGTGGGTAAAAAATGGGGGAGGGTTGCCATGCACTACGCTTTTGTTTCTTCACTTCTATCTGATGTTTTATGTCTGCCAAGCTCTACGGGAGAACTCTGTGACTCCACGTGTGGAAGCTGGGTGGTGTCATGTCATGGGACTTTGGATTGGACACAGGGACACTAGGGGCTGGCTCTTTGTGCCACCTTGGGAAGTCACCTCCCATTTAGGGGGCCTCAGTTTTGTCATCTGTAAAACAATCGCCTGCATGAGGAGATCACGAAGAATCCTCTAAGCTTCAGGATTCTGTGATTAACAGAATTCATCTCCTAGTGGAATGGTACAGTTAATGGACCTTCGCAGCTACTATTATCAGGCATTGGCTTAGAAACCGAGGATAAGAGCTCTATTTGTGCACTTGGTGAAGTTGAGAAGGATGGCGAAAGAGAAGAGGATGAATGTAAAATATGAGTAGAGGGTTGCTTTAATTTGAATAGCCTTGTTTTTTTTTGTTTTTGTTTTGTTTTTTTTTAGTGCTCTGAATAGGAATAGGAAAAAAAAAGGTTAGTACTTACTGGAATTGCTATTTTTAGGTCATTCAGGGTTAAAGACAAATTTCAATTGTCACACATAAAAGGTCTCGTTGACATGAACGATTTTACACAGCGTGTGTAAACACAAGAAACCAAAAGGCCTCGCTGCTATCTGCTTCTCACGGGTTCAGCCTGTCCCTCGACTCTACAGAATATTTGGCTTTAGAATCCTAGCAGCCTCTAGCTATCATTCCAGGCAAAGGAAATACCGCTCGATAGCTGGGACAAGGGTGAGTCTCAGGCTACACTGACTATACCTTTACAAGCAAACTAGATGCCACCAAACAGCTTAGAGGAAATGCGAAGAAAGCACATGACCGAAGGGCACGCGGACAAAGGACTCGGAACCGCCAGGGCACGCACCTGTTGGGATGAAGGCCGCATGCTGCTGCAGCTGCGCACTGCTGAGAGCCTGCTGGTAGTGCAAGACGCTGGGACTGAAGACCGTGTTGGCACCATTGCTCTTTTCAAGGGCTTGTCTCTTTGGTAAAGGATGAAGAGCACCAGGAGGAAAGGCCTGTAAGTAGAGAATTGGATAGGACGTGTATAACTCAAAGTCACCACACCGCCAGGGTCCACAGAGATCATCAACTACAACATTCTTTTTCAAAATGACAGCTAAGGAGATGCCTCTGCCATGCACCTTAATTTAAACAGCGGCAATGTCGAATGAGTGAGAATTTGTTACTGAGAGCGAAAGCATGATTTCTGTAACCCAAAACGGTAGCATCTCAACTAAGGAAAAGAAAAACTATCAAGCAACACCAAAAAAAAAAAAAAAAAAGGAAAGAAAAAAATGGCTTCAGCTTTTAAAATGAGTTAAACTATTCTAAGGGGGGAAAGAAGCATGTGTGTTATTATTAATACCTATTCTCTTCATTAACTAAACGGCAATTGCTTGGATTTTAAAGGTTAATAAGAATTATAAGGAACATTTTCCGAGGCAAGTAATTTAAATTTGCTTCACTCTTTTGGAAAAGGTATTAAAATTTGTTAGGATTAATTTATTTCACATATTACGTATGACAATGAGATGGCTAAACACCTTATTGAATTTTCTCCATTAATTAATAATAATGATTGTTTGCAACCGATTTTACAAGTAATACAAATCTCAGATGGTTCTCTGAAAAGCTACATGCAAAGCGAAAGGTGAAAGGTCAAAGTACCAGGTCTACAGATGCTTCGAGAGGTCGCTTCATTGCTTTGGCAGTCGACTGAGTCTTTTAATAACAGGCAGCGAGCACATGATGGCAGTGGGCCAATGGGATTCAAGCGAATTAACATACAGGTAAACAGCAAGCAGAGGTGCATCATGGGAACGGCATTGCATTGTGGATAGGTGAGAAGGAAAAAAATATTCTGAATGCAATATACAACGTACAAAACACTAGGCATGCACAACAACAAAAATGTTCTCTAAAGAAATGAATATTACACCTTAAATTAGTATCGAAGCAAAAATGCATCTACTATACCTTAGTTAAAAGCATATAAGAGAGTAAAATATAGATGTTTGAAATTCAGGAAAGTTAATTAAAACAGCAGCTTGCATACACACCATAAGCATTTTTTATATTGCTTCAGAAAAAAATGCAAAATTTTCAAGGGCCATAGGACTGAAGAACTTCTGATAAGTTAGTTTTCAAATGTAAAATAACAAATGTGCTAAGTATAAGATCCGAGTCAAAAAAAAAAAAAAAAAAGATATTCTCTTCAACTTTTGTAAAAGTCATTTTTAATGAAGATCTAGCCTAACAAAATGAAGTGGCAAACTGAGACAAGAAATTCAGGCAAAAAAATATTCAAACACAAGATTATTGAGGCAAAACTGTTTGGGTTTGGATCTTAATTTTTTTGTCTGAATCATGTGGATAATTGTCTCAATTCTTCTCTTCAGTCTGTTAGCGTGAATCTGGCAATGCGGGAGCAGGTTCCAAACTTAACAAGTTTTGAATATGAATAGTAAGTTTCTCAAATTTCCCACTCTCAATCCATTGTACTGCTTCTACCGACTAACTTATCATCCATTCTGTTTTCCACTACATTTGAAATTATAATCCAATTTATCTCAATCAACTTACCGGATTACGCTAAGAAAATACCCTTGGAAAACAGGTATTTCGTGTTCTCAGTTATCAGAATCATTTATACTTAATAATTCTGTGTGTACTTTTAGTTATAATCAGTGACCAACCCAATTAATGAGAAGTGGAACTCTCAGAACAACAGCTAAAAATAGCAAACAGCTAAAAAAAAAAAATAGCAAAGGACTGCTTGAAATAGTAGACGTAAAATAATATTTTTAACTTATAACCATACTTTGGGGCAGATAGTCTCATTTAAACAGCTGAAATAATAACAAAGATTGATTGAATCTTCACCACAATGAAAAAATTTTCCTATTCCTTGATAATTGCTGTAAAAGATGGGAAAATTCTATGATGGAATTCTGTGAAAAAAAAAATTAAAGGAATAGCTCCAATGCAAATAAAAAATGAAATACCCCCTTTCTATGTGTAGCACAATAGGTAAATCCCTAAGGTTTGCGCAATCAATACAAAACGTGGTATTCTGAAGTTCTGAGTTGGAACTATGGCATTTGAAATAAGATGGGACAGTACTAAGCTCTCAAAATGAAGAACAATTAATGACATTTTCCTTCGCAAATCAAGGACTTTTCGTCATCATCTGATGATTCAGGATCAAAAGTATAGAGATGACAGGAGGTAAGGTAAAGAAGGGGGGGATAGAAATAAAGAGGGAAAAAGATTGAAGGCAGAGAAGAGATTTAGAACAGCCAACAGAGAAATGTTTTGTAAGGCAGTCTTGAGAGAGGCCATCAAATAATATGAAATCAATGTCCTGAAAGTAGGATTGCAACATTTTTAAAACCCAGAGAGCCCCACAATAAGAAAGCTTCTTTGTACTGGATAGTCTTTCTGCAGATGTAAGTTCCCCATTATGTAACTCCCATGACTCCACGTTCGTTTAAAACCTTTGGTTGCTGTACAGTTTCTAGATTGTTAAATAATGCATTTCTTTAAGCTTAAATTAATCTGTGCTAACTACATAAGGCTGTGTAGCCTGTTCTCCCAGAGTGCACCAGCCCGGAATCATTTGGCCTCAATCTTCGGGAACTCCGTTCTCTCCACTTTTCCAGTCCTCGGGAGTTCCAGAGCAAATCTACTGTTGGGTTGATTTTGTCTGCTGTGCTAACTAGAAGAGTGATTATGTCTCCAAAGGCTGGTAGTTACGAATAAAATTTCGATTTAACAAAGCATCATTTAATGAAGTCTCCGAGTAGGAAAAGAAATATTAAATATTTTCCCCTGGGATAATCACCTGGAAGGTTAATATTCTTTTTTTCTGATCTTTGATTGATGAAACTTAATGTCCACAGAAATCAGAATAATCCAAGAATGTGAAGAAAGAAACAAAGCTCTCAACTGAGCTGGACGGCAACAGCATCTCCTTTTCTCCCACTGCAGGCTGTGGGTTATCTTTCCTAGACGCGTATGTCGGGTCTTTTCAAGGAAACGCTAAGGTTTTGGAGGGTTGAGCATACCTATCAGTATCTTGCACACCTCATGCTTTGAAGCACATGTGTAGAGTGTATTTTAAAAAATCTGTGTGGATTAATAATCACATTATAATATGGTTTTGTAGTGCACAGATATTCTGATTGAGAGGATACATTTGGCATATGTTTAGCTACACTGAAAGGTCTTCAGGCTTAGACTAGACCCGAGAGATCACTGAGCCTGGTGGGTCTTGGGAGCTTCCTTAGGCACCTAAACAGAGAAAAAGGTTCTCTTTAGTTGAGCCTCTACTCTGTGTCGGTCACTTGGCATCCATTCTCGTTGGCCTCACCAACATTTTGGTGTCCCCTGCCCTCTCTGGGCCACCTGCAGGTTTGTGTACATCCAGTGGGGTTTTCCTTTCTCTGGGTCAAAGAACAATCCAACTGCGAGTCAAGGTGTGCAAACCAAGGGCCCATGCCGGGCATTACGGGCAAAGACCAAATCTGAGAAGTCAGAAAACCCTGACGACAATCATCCGAGCTGCCATTTTGATGCGGAAAAAAGGGATGTGGACAAATAGGATGGAATTCAAAATCCCTCTACATGTTTTCTTGGACAATTGAAACTTCTCTAGCTGAGGGCAGCTGGTCCTGTTTCCTTTTACAAAATAGGAATCTGTGTAGCCCCATTTTGAAGTGTGTGAAGAAAGATCGCTTGCTGGAAGATCAGATACCCTTTGTGTGAAAATTACCAAAGAGAAGTTCTGTCTGGCTTATTTTCGCTTTAAAAAAAAAAAAAAAAATCTGGTGAGGACGATGCTCACGTCCTAAGACGTATTGTGAAAGAATCAGGCTCTAAAGAAAATAAATGTCTCCTTTTCTGGAATCAAAGCTTTAAGTGCATTTTCAGGGTCTAATTAATCAAAAGAAAGGGAAATCCCTGGACAATAATACAAACTGCATCACAGAAATTCTTTGTGTTGGGATATGGAGCCCAGGTGAATGGAATACTAATATCTGCTGACTGCAGTCATCACTCCCATTTGTTCTTTTAAATAAGGAAATAAAATAAGAGTTTTTTTTCAGTGTATTGAGTAATCTTGCCGCTAGAGTAAGAATACTTTGACTTTAACCAACTGCATTGAGGCTGGTTCAAATGAGCCTCTCACTTCAACTAAAAAGACATGACAAATTCAATAATTTTCATGTCATTGTCAGAAAGAAGCTGGCTTTTGTTCTGAAACTATATTCCTTTGGGTTGTCTTTGACGATGTTGCAAGATCCCCTGAAATATCAGAACTCCAAATTTGGGCACAGTATGACAATCCCGGGAACTATGGTAACTAAATATACTGACATCCACTGCAATAACCTCCACGCACCTTGATGAGCATGATGTGCAAATTCGAGGAAGGGCACATGGCAGGCGCGCAGAGGGGTACAGGCTTGGGCTTAAAATACCAGGTTGAGGAATGACGTGTTTGTGCCAATGGCCATTTCTTCTCTTCTCCCCATCACCCACCACTGACCTACACGGGCTGCACTGTTCCTTCGGTGATTGAAGGATATATTGATTGTGGATGTTAGAATGGGTACTTCTCATAAACAGGCAGGTACAATCAAGGCTCAGAGAAATTCGGGGCTCAGCTCTCCGGTTACGATTAGTACCAGTGGTTTGTTGTAGCAACGGGTATTTGAGGTATAGGGACTAATTTTTTTCATACTCCCAGAACCTCATCTCCTACGCCAGTGGCTGAGCTGGTCATGGCACGCTATTACTCTAACCATGAGGACAACCCCCAGAATGACCTTTAACTGTTTTTTAGGGTTTTTTCCCTAACCAGAACTGCTGTAGAAGATGCTGTTTTCTCTCCTGTCAAAAGACATAAGAATGTGTCCCCACAGGTGTCTAGACTCGTGGTCAGTGTTGCATTGGAGAACCTGGTCTTAGAAGATAGAGCTGATATGCCAAGAGAAGCAGGAAAGAGAGAAAAAAAAGAGAGATCTACTGGTTTTCCACTTTCTGGATCTGGGCGCCCCTAATCTCTATGTGACTTCTACTCCCTTTGGAGGGCACCACATGAAGTCCAACTTTTTAACTTAAGCTACTTCAGTTGGGTTTTGGTCTCAGTCCCAGAGTCCTGACTAGCCCTGGGGATAACCCTGGTACCCAGTTACGATTTATCATGTCAGTGCAGTGGAAAAACGTGTGCTTTGGGCCTAACAATCAGTGTACCAGTTAGGATACATTGGGGCTGGCCTAAAATAATGATTACAGTGAAAACAGTTTTACTCCTTATAGGATGAGATCTTCACTACGAGGATGGAAAGACAGATTCCACATTGGAGAAATGTATAAAAGACTTCCCTTGCTCACTAAAAGAGTTCCTTTTTCATCAGCATTAAGTAACCGATTTACTCCTTTGTATTCTCATTACTGAACGTGGAACCCAGAACTTGCTATGTGTTCAAGACCTGCCCCTGCTCCGTTCCCAATTACAATCAGTTTTGCAAACTGTTCTTTTACTAGAACAAAAAAGAGGGAGAATTTCTCTATATTGTAGTTAGAAGACTGTGTTTTAAAGTGTATCTTTCATCTCTGAAGCCCTGTCTCTTCTAAGGAAGGACGGCCCACTGAGTCTTTCAGGCCCCGCTGGACCCCATTCATGCATTTCCATCATCACTGAGGAGCACTGTTGCCCTCACTTACTCAACTCTAAGCTCCTCGAGGGCAAGAAAACCTGCTTAATTTCTGGATGCTCCCCAGCGAGTGTCTGATGCATGGCCGCTCTCATTACGTGTTCTGAATGAATCAGTGAATGAATGAATGAATGCACAGTGTCTATCATATATTATAATATGCTTCCCATAAGCCGGCGATCTCACCTTAAAACAAATTAATTAGCAATTTCTACAACCTAGTGTGATGGTTCTCAAGCTGTGCTGCACATTGGAATCCCAGGGGAGTTTTCACAAAAGGCCACCGCCCAGGCCACACCCAGACCAATAAAATAAAAAACTCTGGGGGATGGGGCTGATGTTGGAACCTTTCAAGACCCTTCAGGTAATTCCAAAATATAGCCGAGTTTGAGAACCAGGGTTCTAGGCAGGGGCTTATCAACTGTTAATGTGTATACAAAACACCTGAGGATACTTTAAAATTAGAATTCTGACCCCAAAGGTCTGGGGTGGGGCCTGAGACTCTGGAGCTGTAACAAACTCCCCAGGATGAGGAGGAAGAAGGCGGGAGACAGTAGGAGGAAGAGGGGGAGGGGGAGGAGGAGGAGGAGAGGGAGAAGGAGGAGGAGACGAGGGAGTAGAGGAGGAGGAAGAGGAGGAGGAGGAAGAAGAGGAGGAGAAGCAGGGGGAAGAAGAGAAGAAGGAGGAAGAGGGGGAGAAAGAGGGGGAAGCGGCATTGGCGGCTGGTCTCTAAGGGACATTACAGTGACTCAGGGACTCCAGGCTGGGTTACAGTCCGCCCTCCCCCTTTTTAAAGCACCAGTCAGTACAACTCCATTTTCATCTGTTTCATGACACAATTTCATTTAGGGGGAGGAAGTCTGAAGGCAAGGGGGGAAACGGGTGGGGAAGAGCCAGTCCCTGAAGGTCACCTGTTGCGGGCCTCTGGGCTCCGGGGCTCCGGGGCTCCGCGGCGGGGCTCAGCCGTCTTGCCGTCGCCGGAGCGCTGGGCCCCCCCTTCCCGGTGGCCCCAGGCCGCGGAGCCCGCCCGGAGGAGGAGGAGGAGGCCGCGGAGGAGGAGGAGGCCGAGGCGGAGGAGGAGGAGGAGGAGGCCGGGCCGGGCTCGCCGCAGGGGCAGGGGGGCCGGCGGCTCGCCGGGGGTTCCCTGCGCCTGAGGGATTTACTTATTGTGCTGAAGAAGGGAAGGAGGAGGGAAACCAAACCAAAACAAAACGGGGAAAACAACAACAGAACTTAGGCAGCGGAGCAGCAGGGATGGCAGCCTTCCCTAGTTCCCGCCTTGGGGGGGCGGGAGGGGGGAGCGTCGGGATCCCGCGGGGCGCCCGGCGCGGGCGGAGGAAGGTGCGCGGCGGGCGCGCCCCACTTACCATGACTGTGGCCGCGGCCGCGGCTGCCTGGGCGGCCACCGCCGCTTGGTTGGCTTGGTGCTGCGCAGCTTTGATTTTGGCCTGCAAGTGTGCAGGAGGGTGAAAATATTTGCATTTCTCCCTCATGCAACGCCCCTTTATGTAATCCATACAAACGGTTACGGTGTTGTCGTTTGTGTCGATCATGGTGCTGTCTGCGGGGTGTGCAAAGCGGCAGTCGGTCTCCCCCCGAGCACAGTTTCCTCGCTGGAACTCCCTGCATACCTAGGACACAGGGGGCAAGAGCGGACGATGCAGAAGGAAGCCTGATGGCCGCCGGCGACCACCTCCGCCAGCGCAGCCATTTATGTCCAAAAAAAAAAAAAAAAAATTATTAAAGGAATACATGCTTTTTCCTCTCTTTTAATGGTGGCTTTTGTGACATTCCGATAAAAATTTGATTGTCCAGAACTCAACTAGGGTCCCTGACAAACTAATCTTGAGTTCTGCTTTGCCCTCTTTTCTGGAGTGAGACTCTGTATTGAGAAACTAAGGCAAAAGTCTGCAGTTGGGCTAACATCACGAATATCAACAAAGCCTCCCTTTATCTCTGGGTAGTGTGCTTATCTCGGTATCTACTTTATATGTAATAATTAGGACACAATATACGTGTATATGTAGTACAGAATTTGGACATCTATATCCATATCCAAATCTTCTCCTGCCCTGACCACTCTGGGATGCCATAGGTTTTTTGCATGGAGGGACAGTTGCATCACAGACCAAGCCCCCAGGGCATAGCTATAACAATTCCAGAAAGAATTGGGGGAAACATATTTGTTCCTCCTCTGAGGATGGGAAGTGGGTGGGGTGAATCTGAATACTCCTGTTTCCCCCTAAGTCCCCTGTTCTACAAAGATAACTTACACTTACAATCCTAAGTCAGAACTACTGTATCTAAGACGTTGAAACTTGCATTTAAGGTCACTCTGTTATTATTTTTGACAGCACAGACAGAAAGAAAAGATAAAAAGGAGAGAAATAAGTGGAGGGAAGTAGGAATGGAGTCTGAAGTGCTGATGTGTTATCGTTGCTTTTTTAGTCCTTAATCCTTAGTTATCCTGAAGTCTCAAGTAACCAGAATGCTCCATCCTCTAAGAATTCTGGTGGATCAAAAGTTTACCATGTAAAGAAAGTTTTCTTTAGAATTTAAGAGTATTCTGAATCCTGATCTGAAGACTAGTTCTTAAAATAAGATGACATAAGTAATAAATAGACAAAATACTTATAAAATATCATTAGCAGGGCAGAATTAATAGTAAAATTGTAAATTATTTTCCTTTTAGGCTCTAGTTCCAAAGTCAGTACACTGAAGTGGTGGTTGGCATCTCGACCATCAGTGACATCATATGAAGGGTCACTGACGTGACAGTCAAGCCCTGTGAAAGTCAAAGGGGCTTGCAGAATACAGTTTCACTGACCAGTGGCCCAGAGGGCTTGAAGGGTAAATAGGTAAGTCACAAAATTGCTCATTCTTCCCTCCTGCTTTGGATATAAGCCAATATTCCATCTTTAGTTCATAAAATGTACAAAATAAAAATTTCTCAGGTGTTCCCATCAATTCTGAGTCAGCCTTCATCTCTAAATGCAATCCTCTGGTCTGAACCTGCGTCCGAGGTACATACCGGCCATCGAGCATTTACCAAGGATCTGTGTGTGTGGCCGACTTCATTCCTGGTTTGAAATGAACTGCAAGCTGCCCTGCTAAAGTCACTGTAAATTATTTTTCAATGTCTTTGTCTACTAGTCCTGTTGGGGAGGACGATTTTTTCCCAACTCAGCTGATTTAATTTGTTTTCTAAACCACACTCACCAACTGAACACTAAAGCTCCATGGGTCCAGCAGGTGGAGCCCCAAACGCTTTTGCAGACCATGAAAGGTCTGTTCTCTAGTCATAGGGGCAGGCTAGATCAAAACAGTAGTGTTAGAACTATAGTCTTTTCATTTTGGGATACATAAACTCCAGACTGAAGCTGATATTAGGCAGCCACACTTTATTGCCCTCAAGATTTATCTGGTAAATACTTATTTTTTAAAAAAATTTTTATTGGGTAAATATTTAAACAAATGCACATTGAAATAACTTTCTCCAATGATCCAGTATAAAGCACAGTGTACATCCTAACCATACATACATCACCTAACAACTTTAATGGGTACTGGAATTAAAGGAGCTCGTTGAAAAATCTATCAGAATCTTTGCCTACCTGTATAAAATGCTCTATTAAATATCACAGGCTATAGTAGTTAAGATAAATCCTCTAACTCTGATTAAAGAGAATACTGGCTTGACTCATGACTTAAGAATTATGTTCTACAAATATATGAACTTGTTTTCTTGACTTTTATAGAACACTTGAACTTAAGTTAAAGAAAATATCTCAATCGATAACTAAATTTGCCCAGCTTCCAGTTCCCCTATTTACCAGTAATACAACCAGGGCTGATATTCGGGAACATACCAATATAACTATATTAGTTCTTAAAATATTGAAATATGATCATACCAAGTGGTCAACAGTCATAGTTCTATTTACTCGTACCTCTGTGCCCAAGTTTCCCCCCCGCGCCAATTGCCCTGACTGCTGGGCCTCTGACTTGCCCATTCTCAGACCTTTCCAGGATCCATCAGAGGTTAATGCCAAGCATCTGGAGGCCTTCTGGAGCCATTCTATGGCCTGCACAGTGACTGATTCATAGTTCTACTGGTTGTTAAATATTTTGCCCCTGAACACACATTCCCCACGGGTGAATTTTGTTTGTACTAAGCTAATTCTTTTCCTACAGACTAATTTCCTTTATACTCTGCCTTAAATTGAAACCATAGAATTACGAATGCATGGTGCTTAGATGAACGTGTGTGTGTGCACGTGGCTGTTTTGCAAGACTGAATGAGTATCTTACAAGCGTTCACTTACAAAGAAGTACACTTCTATCACAAATGCATCTCGAATCACAGATATAATTGAAGTACCTCCAGTTTGTCAGTCCTGAGAAGTTTCTGAGTTGCAGTTGAGCCCGGGACAGTGACGGGCGGACTTCCGGGAACAATAACAGGTGTGGTGGGTAGAATTTCCGTTGGGACTAACCCAACTCCAGGGGTTACAGGTGCTAAGTAAGGAGCAAAGCTAATCGCCGTATTTGTCCCTATGGCGGGACCTACAGGAAAAGTGGGCTGTTAAAGGAAGACAACACAGGACAAAGATTTCTTTAGAATAAAACTTTTAAAAAAATCACCAGCAAGTGTCATTTGAGCAAAACTCACTCATCATAGATAAGACTCTTTGTGTCAGTTGCATAAATCAATATCTGAGAAAGTTCATTAAACTTCCCTGTTTTGTTTTGCTTAATAAAAATGAAATCCATATAGATCCTCTCTTCCTAAAACCATACAAAAAATCATGGGAGAACATTGTAGAAACCTAATTACAGAGGACAGGTTAAACTTTTAATTCTATGAAGGCAGTCTCAAGAAAAGAAAATAATAATTCTCACTATAATTGCTCATCATTCCAAACACTGAATGTTGGTAAGGGAGTAAAACCTGTGGAATGCTGACTCAAAATCTCTCATTTCTCCTCCGTGGATCTCAAAAAGGAAATGAATAAAGAAAAACCTTGAATAGCGCCTGATTTTCCAGTTGATCGAGTTTGTACATTCACAAAAAGCGGGGATTATTTGGGGCTGTATTTGCTCAGACTCACCAGCATGTTCCCATAGCCCCTCACTAGCATGCAAGTACCCAATGTTTGAAGGCAATGTTCATAGAGACCTGCTCTTTCATGGTCCAGCTCAACCATGTTTAGATCTAACCTTCCCTTGAATGGAAGAGCATGAACTTTTCAGTTGGCCAATTTTTCAACCAGCCATTAAAATTTAGTTTGGTTTCCTAGGTCAAAATCAGCACAGCAGTGATAAAGGCATTCCGTACCTTATTTAAACTTCTCTATCACTACACTCCTCGTCCACAGACAAGAAGAAATATACTAAGGGGTTGAGGGGATGATTATTTTTTAAAGCCCCGCCTAAAAATATGCCCCTCGGAAAGGAAATAATATGAGAACAAGGAACTTTGCCTCACTCTTCTAGAACCAATGTTAACAATTGAAGATGCTAAAATTTTTCTTAGAATAAATTTTACCCTGAATTGTACCTGAACGGTTTTTGTTGGTTGCTTGCTTTTTTAGTGATTGGATGACTTTCACCTTCTTTATTTTTAGGACCAGTGTGCAGATACTTGCAATCACGTGTTAATGTAATTTTCTAATACCAAACCCTGCCATTGGCCCTGCCACGCTACTCTGCTCTTTATACATTGTGAGTAACATTCTTGTTTTCTATTTATGGCTCTGAATGAGTTGTTGAACATATGGGAAAAATAACAATCTCTGTTTATTAAACAAATTTTCTGTTGACAGCAATAACGGAAAAATATCTCCTATGAATGCTCATGTTAGAAAACAGTGAAATATTGAAAGTATGTGCAGGGAGTTCTCAGAGAGTCTGGAAGTCTTTACTGGAGTGTCTGGGGGCCACAAGAGGTGATTCTAATGGTCTGTGAGTGCTGCTGTAGCCCTCCCATGGGGGGGCTCTTAGATCTTTATGGCTCAGACATAAAATTCACTTTGGGACAGAGTTGCAACATGAGGTCTCAACATGGGAAATAGATGGCAGTTAGGAATTTTTTTCTCCAAAATTTTATATGTGTATGTTTTCCATTTTCAACCCATTTGAGCCATAATTACAGAAAGTTGTGGTTTTCAGGAACTATAGCTTTTATAAGTTAGCGCTCTTGAAAGAAAGCCAAGTGATTTGAATGGTATGACTATATAATGTTAGAATTAAAGAAAAAAAAATCCACCCTGAAAGGTCATAAATCACAACAGATCAGTGATTCAAAAAACTAGCTATATCAGAAATGCCTGTGGGGAATTTCTTAAATAGAGATATGGCCAGACTCAATAGGTCTAGGCAGGGGCCTTGAAATTTGCATTTAAAAAAATTTACTACATGATCTGATGTGTGGCCCAGTTTGTGAAAGTAAGTATTAAAACACTTGTACTAAATGTGTAATTTAACCCAGAGACCAAAGTAAACACTGAAAGAAAAGAGCTCTCCCTCACACCCCCAGTCCTCCCTCCCATGGATCATTTGAAGTCAGGGTCCGTGTGGTGACATACAGACAGCTTGTACCTTGACTGTCAGTAGGATGTCAGAACCTCAAAACTCATTTCCTGAAACCTTTTCGCCTATCGGCAAATCTATTACAATTAGGAAGAGCGTGTTTTCCAAAATGTACGTTACTTGTTCATCTAATTTAATGATCTAAAATGGATGTTGCAGTTTGTTTTACTAATGATAGCTCTAACAGGGCTTGGGGAGAGTATTATTTACAAATAAAACCACAGGTTTTAGACTGAGAGCGATCTGAATTCAAATCCAGAGCTCTGCCAGTTAACTTTTATCCTGGGCAGTGAGTTAACCTTGCCGGGGTTTAGTTTTCTCAGCAGCAGACGGGACATAAAACCTTAAGCTTAGCTTCAAGAGTTGGGCCAAATCAGGTATTAGTTCTCCCCCCTTCCCACGGTCAGAACTCAGTAAATAACAGCTCTCATCGGTAGTATAAAACCTGCAGTAATAAAGTTTTTCCTCCAAATGGCCCATTGTGTCTAGAATAGGAATATAATCAGCACAGAAATGTGAGTACAGAGGTATAAACTCTATTAATGATTATTAAATGATAGTAAATGTCTTCTCCTCTTTTTTGAAATGTGGGCTGGGAAAATACATTGTTCCATGTGCAGCTGAAAGTTAAAAGTGTATAGGTCTTAGGAAGATAGATTCAATGAGGTATTTTCTCTCTGAGTGTTTTTCATTGAAGGTAATGAGTAAAAAGTAAAGTTACCCTCATCTTCAGAGATGGGCACTCTTATTATTACTGTTGACAGTAATACCTTATGCCTCTGAAGGGTTCCCAGTGTTCAAACCGCTCTCCCACACCTTGTCTTCTTTAACCTTCTCAATATCCATGAAGGACAAGGGTGGCTGGGAGAACTTACGGGTGAAAGCAATTTAGAGCATAGACCAAATGGATCATGCAAGGTCAGTGCCGCTGAGGCAGAGTCAGGGCAAAGCGCCCGGGACTCCTGACTTCCCAGTCTGGAGTTATTTCCATTTCTCTGCACTCCCTAGATTTTGCTGGTAATTTCTTAAAACAGAAGAGGGCAAACCCCCGAGCTGTGCTGATGTCTTTGAGTGTGAGGCCAGAGTGCTGGTGGAGAGCTGTGTCCCACCATCAGCCAAGGCCTCCTCCAGATGGGAGGGGCGAGGCTGCTCCAAAGAGCGCTCTGGAGAGCCACTGCCCCGGCACAGTGGGTCCCAGATCCTGGACTGAAATTAAGCTCCGCAAGTAGAGTCCAGGCTGACACCATGTCCTCACGTCTGAATTCAGTTCTTAGCTGCAGCTAAGAAAAGAGAAGAGCAGCACCTCCGAATGATTCTTGTCCCGGGGGCCACACCAGCTCACTCCCGGAAGCCTCGGCCCCATGGTTTCTGTACAAGGCCTGCTGCCAGGCTGTCTGAGATGGGATCCACCGGGTCCTTGATCATCTCTCAGAACCAGCTGCAGCTAGAGTGGCTGGAGGACAAAGCTGTGGCGTCTTCTGGATGAAAATGGCTTCTGAAATACTGGCCTTGCTATTTCTCATCTCTGGACTTCATTCCACATTCCTGTGTTTCTCTCTTCAGCTTCTCACATGCTAGTCTTCTTTCTCAGTATATTATACCAGTAGATCCAGGTTCAAAGACCTCTCTGTCTCCCTCTCTCTCTCTCTCTCTCTCTCACACACACACACACACATTCAGCACGGGTTCTTTGATACTTTGTAGTGGCAAGGAAGGATCAGTGCTGAGCAGTAATGACTAAGTGGCCTGAGGTATTTTATGGCTCTAAAATTTAGTCAGTTGACTTTTTAAAACAGGAGCGTGAGAGTTCATACATTTAGAAAGCTTTGACTTCAAAGGGTAGGTATTTGGCACTCAAACTGAAAGGCTTAAAACATGGCATCCCCTTAAGCCTCCTCTCTTTACTTCCAGAAGCATCTCTGGAAGGCAGAATACTCAATGCAAGACCTTGTCCCTGAGGACTGGGTTGTATAGGCTCTTAAATCTCTATCCTACTAAAGGCTACCCACCCCCACTTCTTTTTCTTTTTCTTTTTTTTTTTAAATTGAGGTATAACTGACATGCAACATTATATTAGTTTCAGGTGTATGATGTAATGATCGATATTTGTATATATTGTGAAATGATTGCTACAGTAAGTCATTACCATCCATCACCATATGGAGGTACAGAATTTGCCTTTTTGTGATGAGAACATTTAAGATTTACTCTCTTAGCAACTTTCAACTATGCAATACAGTATTCTTAACTGTAGTCTCCATGCTGAATATTACCGTCCTCATGAATTACTTTTTTTAAGTAACTGGAAGATTGTACCTTATGACCCCCTCTACCCATTTTGCCAGCCCCCTTGCCCTGCTTCTGGCAACCACCAATCTTTCTATCTGTCTCTATGAGTTTGTTTTTTTTTTCCAGATTCTATGTATAAGTGAGATCATATAGTACTTGTTTTTTTCTGTCTGACTTATTTCACTTAATATTAATGCCCTCGTGGTCCATTCACGTTGTTGCAGATGACAAGATTTCCTTTTTTAAAATGGCTGAATGATATTTCATTGTATGTATATGCCACAACTTCTTTATCCATTCATCCATTGACAGACACTCGGGTTGTTTCCGTATCTTGGCTATTGTAAATAATGCTGCAACGAACATAGGGGTGCAGATATTTTTTCAAGTTAGTGTTTTCATTTTCTTTGGATAAATACCCAGAAGTGGAATTGATGGATCATATGGTAGTTCTATTTTTAATTTTTTGAGAAACCTCTATGCTCTTTTCCACAGTGACTGCACCAACTTACATTCCCAATGCAATGGATTTCCTTTTCTCCACCTCCTGGCCATACTTGTTACCTCTTATCTTTTTGATAACACCATTCTAACAGATGTGAGGTGGTATCTTTTTTTTTTTAAAGGCTTATTTACTTGAGAGAGAGAGAGAGAGCACGTGTGTGCGTATGCATGAGTCAGGGGAGGAGCAGGGGGAGAGAA